CTTGACGATTACACAGAATTCAACCATCTTAGTACAAGATATTTGTGAAGATGTTCAATCCAAAAATTGCTATCTTACAACTTTCATAATCATATCGAACAACCAATGAAAAAGTTTCATTTACACACAAATCACTCAACACGACTTTAGATTGTTGGAAAAACTTGGGTGATCTGTGTGCAGACTTATTATTAACTGACATAATAAAATAACAAATATAATTCTAGAATAATATAACATAAAATAGAGAAGAGATTTAGAAAACAAACATTGGAAGTTACGTTGAAGACGTTGTCCTAAAGTCGTGTTGTCTCCCCTTCTTGCGAATTCTTTTAGTACTACACGGTTCCAAAATAAAACTCATGTGACTTTCTTTATATGGGCACGACCATAGAGAGATAAGTGAATGAACCTTTATCGAATTGTCAAAAGTGCATGAACGTAAAATGTATATTCAAGTGGTTAAAGAAATATAGTATAGGATGTGGATGTGGATGTGGATGTGGATGTAGCATTTTATTTTTCTTTGTAACTCAAGTTGTGATTCTTATTCTCATTTTCAATTAGATGTAACCACCTTTTATAGGTGAAAATTAACCCCCCCCCCCCTCCCCAATAATTAAGTTGTTAAAATAGAGGTTATTACAAGAATTATGAAGTTTTAATTGTGTTAAAAGTGATTATTAAATAAATAAAAACAGAAAATTAAATAGGTTAAATGTTGAAAGGTTAAAACTTAGTTATAAGTTACAACAAATTTACTTTACTAGGTCTATCATTTAATGATAACTAGTTTGGTGTTAACTAATATTACCCATTTCCTTAAATATGTTTTACAATGTCATACTATCGATTGCAATTTGATAATCATAGAGCAATAATATGTGAATAATTCAAAATGATATCGAGGGTACCAAGAGCAATAATATGCTAATTAATTCAAAATGAAAGTAAGGGTTTCGAGAGTTGCACAACAATATCACAATACTAGATATGACTGACCAATATTCGTGTGCCACAATATTTGAAGTCATTAATGGCCATTTAAATAGCAAATTGGTTTTCCTTTAATCTACTAAATTCGTTATCATTACTGTCCAACATCAAATAACATAAATCATAAATACGAAAAATAAAAATAAAAAATAGTAATTTTTTGTCACAAAACCTTCGTAATACAGTGTCTATAATAGGATCCCAAGCCTTGTGCCAAAGGGGACTGAACAAGAATGTAAGGAATAGATGCAGAAACTATTCAATTATCTTCATTAAGATAATAATTTTGAGATTAAAAAAATAAATAAAATAGATTGAAAATATATTTAGGGTGGGTATAGCCCCTTCAATGTTTCGAGTGATTATTTACAAGCTTTGTTGCACGAATTGACATCTCAAAAGGAGGGAAGCAAATGCTTCTATTCTTATTGGAACTTCTGATAAGCCATACGTACATAATCAACCATGTCGAGGAGAAAAATACAGTAAATTTTACTCATCATCTGAAAGAATACTAACTTTCCAAAACACCACCACACAAAGTATGGTCTTCCATCTAGCAAGAAAGCTGGACAGAGTCGTCAAATGAATGTGAAAATCGAGAACTTGGCCTGATGCATCCTTCCAGTAACTTATGCGTCGATTGTTGGATAAAAGCCTGGAATAGAATTTCATCCTCCACCATTAGAATCTGCATTTCCATAAAATGGTGAGTGTAGCTCACCAGAATGGGACGACTTGCGGGATTTGGGATTTTTGGACTGAGAAGTGTATGATTCACTCGAACCACTGGTAGTAGAATACAGAGACGAGGTTGGAAGCCCATGGATTTTAGGCAGTCCCGTTGGATCAGTATTTAAGCTGTAGCCCCTCTCGATCGTATCAGCTTCAAGCGGTAGTTCGTCCAATGTCTACATACAAAAGTAGACAGATCACACAAGAAGTCTTTGGGACTATGAAGAACTTGATGTAAGAGGATATGCAGGACCGGAAAAACACAAATTCGAGACAAAGTCCAAGTCCTTTTGGGAAAGAAGAAAACAATAAGAAAATTTGTAACGTTCCACCCACAGCAAGCATGTTTATTGCCTAACTAAAAATTTCTGCCAACCAACGATCTCCAATAATGTTTTCGCAAGGCAATCGGGGTGTGTGTGTGTGTGTGTGTGTGTGTGTGTGTGTCTGTACTTAGATTTCAATCAAGGTCAGAATGAAATAAATAATCAATGGAGCAAATTTCAATTAACAATCACCTCAAAAGGTAAACTTCGAAAGGAAAAAAAGGGAAGAAAACAACCAAACATGTGATCAGCCATGCTGATTTCCACAGCATGTTTGGCAAATAAGCCTATGGCTTACAAGACATGGGTCCCACAACGAATGTTCTATCAAAATGCATGGGGAGTGGGTCCTACACAAAATAAGATACATACAAGGTACCTTACTTATTGGGCTTATTTGAACCCACAATATTTTGTGGGCCCATGGCTTATTTGCCAAACATGCTGTAAATATGCACATCCAGATTCCTGAAAGAACCAGATAGTGGTTTTGCTACTATGTAAGACGAAATTAGACATACGGATGACAAACTCGACGTGTTTGCTTCTATGGAATTCAAGAATCAAGCACTTACCCGGAAAGCTTGCTGTAGAACCTTGAGGGTTTCTCGAGTACGCTTTCTTTTCATTGCTATCTCGTCAGGTTCCTGTAACATCTCTTCGAACAAGTTGTCCCTGCTCCATAAATAACAGTAGCGTGAGCATAACAATTTATGTCAGTACGCGTCACTGCTCTCTTTCATACACACCAAGATGCAAGTACTATTCAGAAATTCCATTTGGACATTCTATGGACCAAACTAATAAAATCCTAAAAATATACCTGTAAAGCTTTTTGATGAAAACATTGTGGAGCTCCCGTTTGGTGTGATTCACCTATAAGATGAATAAAAAAACCAAATGGCACTCATAAAATTATTTTTGGAATAGAGAAGGACACAGAAAGATGAATCAGGAATTTAATTATTCACAAAGAGACAACAATGATAGACAAACCACAAAAGTATTACTGACAGCTTTACATTTTTTAATGCAGAAGTTCGACTGCAGACTCTTTCAAGGTAAACATCTAAGATGAATAATCATCTCTTTTTCATAGGAAAAAAAAAAAAAAAGATAATCTGATAAAAAAACACGGCTTCAAATTCAAACATACTACCTCCATTCATAAAGATAGACTTGGTTTCCTTTTTTGTCTATCCCAAATTATAAGCCACTTTCCTTATTGAAAGCATGATATTTTTTAAGATTTCTAATAAACCTCTATTTAATGTACCTTGTTATCAACAAATATAATTAATCTTATTTAAAACATTATTTAATGTAGGGGTATATTAGGAAAATTGTAAGAAATTTTATATTCCAACTAAATTAATTATATTTTCTTAATCTATGTGAAAATAGAAACAAGCCTATCATTATGGGACGGAGTTAGATATCTTCTTTTTTATTTTTTATTTTTTTGTGGGGTGGGATTGATGCGGGTTCACTTAATATGAATGCTACAGGTTGTGGTTGTCAAATCCATGGCTAGAAATTTAAAAGATAGCAAAACAAAAGAAGGAAATAGAAAGTTCACGTTAACAATAACCAATTGCCAGAAAATGCATAATTGCTTTAGGTACAGAATCTTCAATGTTCTTCCGAACAATGTCATAATATGACCTTAATAAGAGCTTCGTAATAGCAATCTCAATAGCATCCTCTGAATGAGTTTCTGAAGGCCTCAAGACAGCAGGGGGCTTCAAGAAAAACAGTACAGAAACTTGTTAGCGCAGTAACAAAGATAATAAATCTCATCGACCAAATCGAACAAATATTCTGGAGAGAATACCCCATGAACATACCTCTCTCAGATGAATGACCGAAAAGCTATGCTCCACGCTCTGAACAGGTTCACTAAATGGCTTGCTAGTAGAATTCTCTTTAACAGATGTGCGATTATCATGGCTGCCAAAAATTGATGATATTCCCCAGGCCGAACTAGTACTGTTTACTGGTTAATCATAAAATAATGCCACATTAGGTCTTAATGATACTGATTGCCACCAGTGATTCCCAGACAACCAGGTTGGCCACTTATCCAGAAGCCCAAATGAGGGGGTGGGATTGCCATAGTGGGGCTTGGCCAAATGCACGAAGAATCAAACAACGACAACAAACTGAGCCTTATTACCAGTATAGTTGGGCATAATAAGATATAATTTATTTTCTCCAACAAAAAGAAAAAGAAAAATCACCAGGTGGTGCAATTTTCTCGACTTCTGCAGCAGATCGAACACCCTGTTTGTCATGCAAACCCTGAAAAAATATTAGCATTACAATGATGAAATTCTGCAAGTTTTATTTGGTAATTTAACACCACTAGAGACAAAGAAGATAAGTAGGTTCCAAGGTCGGTCCAGGTGCCCATAGATAGCTAACCTGCTCTGGAACTATTCCATTCACAGGCCTGGCAATAATAGCACGAGATTTTAGACTTCTCTCAGAATTTGGTGCTTTGTCTGAATCTCCTGTATCCTAATTGACAAATGCAAATCAAAAATTAATCCACAGAATCTTATCAAGCCAACAAATAGAGATGCGGACAGATCAGTACAGAAAAGTAAATACTTACTTTCTGCCTGGGAATAACTGCAGCAACCCTGGTGGACTTGATCTGTTGTAGTGCCATTTCTACAGCTTTACTCCCGCCAATAAAATTTGGATGAGAAGTGTTTATGTAATCCATCTACGGAAGAAAAAAAATACACAATAATTAGATAGGAGTGATCTATTAATTACCAAAAAATCAAAAACTTACAACAACAAAAGCACTAGTAATTGCAACAGAGGTAAAATATTGAGCAAATTTACAATGTTTCAAGCAATGTGATAAGTCACTAAGTAAGTTCATATATTCTAGAAGATCCAGGAAGAATGGATAAGCAGCTGAATGTAACAAATTCTGTTAGTTAGGTAGCTGATGTACGCAAAGTAGTTACAGAACACCTATAAATAGAGAGAATGGACGTAGTAGGGGACCTCTATGGAGTGAGTAGAAGGGAGACCTTTAGGAAAGTTTTAGCCCTCTCAAATGGCTATTTGTTATTTCCTTTCTTGCTGTAATTTCTTTTAATTCAATAAATATATTGTTGCTCCTTTGGTTCTTACAGAATTCTACGTTTTGCAGTTAGAACCTTATCGAATGATATCAGAGCACAATGATCTGCTGGCCAGATGAAGATAGAAAGTAGAGTGGAAATCATGGAAAAGGAGATAAAGAAATTGAAAGTAGAGATGCAATGCCTTCCCGAATTGGAAAAATATGTGGGAACGCCTTACACAAAGTATGGCCAAGATGATGCAGACAGTAGAGGCAACCCAGAACATTGTGGCATCACTAATTCACCCTGAGGCAGCCTTCATCCATCTGAAAGTAGAGTTGAGTAGCAAGGTTGAGGGAGAGGGATCCGGATGCCGTACAGAAGAACGGATTCCAACAAATCCATTCTGGATTGATCACTGGACACAAGATAAGAGGAAGAGCATCAGAAGGATCAGGTGAAGCTACTTATGGCAGTGTCACGATGGCAATGGGTCAGAGCATACAAGGGAGATCAATGGCAGGGTTCTGGCGTTTGTTGGAAGCTTTGGTTGCACGTGTGCCGGATATCACAGAGGGGGTGTTGGAGGGAACGTTTATAAATGGGCTGAAACAAGACATACGGGCTAAAGTCCAATTGTTATGTCCACAGGGATTGGGCCAAATCATGGATATGGCCCAAATAATTGAAGATTGCAACAACTTGGAAACTAGAAGGAAGAATCCAGCCCAAAAGGCCATCAAATTATTTCCATCCCGAAATCAATGGGAAGGAAAGAAAGCAGAACCCCTCCCTACGAGATCCGTGATGGTGGGGTGGGGGAGAAATACACAGTCAGCTACCAAAGCAAAAATCTACTAGAACCCTATCCATTGGTATATTTAGGGGAAGCTGAAATTGATGGCGTTGAGAAGGGACAACCCTTTAAGCTTTTTTCTGGAGCAACGATGCCATGGCTACAAGGAAAAAGCTTGTACCATAAATGGTGGAGGAAGAATCCAATCGGGCATCACAATAAATATAAGAGGCTAACAAACTTCAAAGCCTCCTAGGAATGTTTAGCAGCCCTTAAAATTCAATTCCTTGATTTCAACTTTGAGGGCAAGGTTTATTTGAAACCCCAGGGTATTGATAAGCCACCAATTAAGTTCATTGTTAAGATTTGGGGTCCATCTTAATAAGTTCAACTTTGTTAAGAGGAATAGCTCAAGATCTTTTTAAGATGATCAATATTTCGATATTTAACCGATGTGCGATTTTTATCCCTTAACATGCCCCCGCAAGATAGTAGCTCGTTTGAGCAAACTAATCTTGCAATCCGTTGCTCATTAATTGAGACTTATAATCGGATAAAATCGCTCGTTGGAACTTAATGGGCTCTGATACCGTGTTAAGATTTGGGGTCCATCTTAATAAGGTCAATCTTATTAAGAAGAGTAGCCCAAGATATTTTTAAACTTATCAATATTTCACTATTTAACCGATGTGGAATTTTTATCCCTCTACATTCATATATTCTAAAAGATCCAGAAAGAATGGATAAACAGCTGAATGTAACAAATTCTTTTAGTTGGGTAGCTGACGTAGGCAAAGTAGTTACAGAACACTTATAAATAGAGAGGAGAATGGACGTAGTAGGGAACTTCTATGGAGTGAGTAGAAGGGAGACCTCTCGAATGGCTATTTGTTATTTCCTTTCTTGCTATAATTTCTTTTAATTCAATAAATATATTTTTGCTCCTTTGATTCTTATAGAATTCTGCCTCTTACAATTAGAACCTTATCACAATGCATCATAAATCATGCAAAAAGTGAACAAAGGTTAGCGTCACCAAAAAAATAAAGAAAGAAAGAAAGAGCCTAAGGAAACATTTCCTGAACAAACTTTAGAATTCAATAGAAAAGAAGTAATGGACGGACAAAAAATAAATTCCTGAGTCAATAGTTGCGAATACAACCTAAGTCCCCTTTATACAAACTTCAAGCAGATAACAATGAATAGAACAAAAATCCTATCTATTAAGAAGACTACTAAATAATCTGACTGAAACTGTATTTCACCTTGTTTTCGACTGGAATAGACTTTTAGTTGTTTCCTATCACTAATACTTCCTTTTTGAAATAAAAAAATTCCCAACACACTAGACATGAATGCACAAATTTTGGAAAGGGTAAATCTTCTATCTAAAAACTTAAGTTGTTAGAAAGAAACCACGTGCGTTCATTTCTATCTTGCCTCGAACACACTTCCTGTGCAAGTTAGGTTCAGTTTTTCCCTTGTAGACCCAACACGTGCACAATTTTCATAAATGGGTAGCGACAAGACTTGAACTTAGGTCTTTTGCCTTGACTTGATGCCATGCTAACCAGTTCATATAAAAGCTTAAACAATAAGGGACGGATGTCTATCATCAAGAGCATGCTTGATGTAGATCTTAAGCAACTAAAGTTGATAAAAGTCTATGAGTCTATAAAATGTGTGGTTAAAAGTGGATAAAAGTTGTGGGCGAAATGAAATTTGTTTTTAAAAATGAATCAGGAAGCTTTAATGTGGCAACAAATTGGCGTGTGAAGATTGTATCAATTTCTACTTTATAGTACATAACCAATTTTAAAAATGGTGAATATCCGTATGATACAAAAATAATGGTGGAAATCGAAAGCTCAAAAGTGTATTTTGCACCCAAAACCTAAATGCCGGAGGGGGTAGAGACATGTAAAGGAAAGAGAAATAGAGTGTGTATATTTGCCTTTTCTTGGAAATTGATAGGTCAAAAGTTGCGTAATTGTCATGATTCCCATTACAAAGTATAGGACTTGAATTCCCATCGAAAGTATCGACTTTTGTGTGTGGTTTATGTAAATTTAGGCTCTTCAGCTTCAATAGCTAGCTTTGAGATATGGCTTTCCCAAAATCTATATCAATAGTATCAGAGCAGACACCGTACATCTCTATTGCAATCGACGGGTGCGGATGTTGACGCGGGCATAGCAGTGTTCATCTGGAACTAGTCATTCCATTGCAAAGTGTGGGACTTTGAATCTCACATTGAAAAGTATGGACTTTCGGTGTGTGGTTCATATAGATGTAGGCTCTCCAACCTCAATAACTAGCTTTTGAGGTATGACTCTCTCAAGATCTGTATCAATACTTCGTACCCAAATTAACTATGCCTTGAATAGATTGTTTTATGAAATCAGCAAAAGAACACACAAACGATGAAATTAACCAAATTTCTTGGAAGAAGAAATGAAGAATCACTTAAATAAGTACAGCGTACAATGGTTACATATTACCAAGCAGCTCTTCCATCAAGGTATATATATTACTATTGTGCAAATATACAAGGTAAAGTCGTAAAGGAGTCGTATGTACCTCCATCTCAATAATATGTCCTATCATTGTCTCTGAAGGCTCAAGACCCTCTCTTAAAAAATTACCAATAACCTCATCCATGCGCTTTCTTAGGACAGGAAACCGTTGCATATCACTGACCATACATCGATGGCTCATCTAAAAGAAAACATTCAAATTAATGCCCAGATGCAAAGATAAATGAGCCAAAAAGCACCAGAAATTTACTAGCAAGATGTACCTTTATTAGCTCGTCATAAATGAACCTAGCACACTGAAGACTTGGATCCAACAAACGAGCTATTTGTCTTCTAATAAGAACTTCAAATGGAACCTGCAAGTTTGGATATATTTTGCATACTAAACATCATATGGAAGGTCAAATTTAAAAAAAA